CAACTGGAAAGATTGGAAAACTCAGGAAAGTAGATGCTCAAAGGACTTGAGGAAACAAATAATTAAGAATGACACAATATAGGAAAGGGGAAATGAAATTTTAATTTAATCTCCGACACTACTAGAAAAATGATTAATAGTGACCGAAATTAGTAACCGAAAAATTCAGTCACTGATAGTAACTGAATCAGTGACTGATTTCCGTTTTATATTTAGTGACTGATTTAGTGGCTAAAATTTCAGTCACGGAAATCAGTCACTGATTCGGTCACCAAATCAGTCACTGATTCGGTCACCAAATCAGTCACTACTAGGAAAATGGTTAATAGTGATCGAAATTAGTGATCGAAAAATTCAGCATTAATAGTAATCGAATCAATGACTCGATTTCTCTTTTCATATATAGTGACTCGATTTAATGACTAAAATTTCAGTCACTAAACAAATAATATATAAATTAGTGACCATTTTTTATTTATGTAAATATTTTTTTAAATATTTTAATAATATATTAAATATAAATCTACTTAATAATTTAAAATAATTGATAAAACTTTTAATAACATTATAAAAAATTTAAAAAATAGTTTATTAACTTATTAAATAATTTAGTAATATAATTATTTGATTTTATTTTTTAATTTAGTATGTGAATAAAAAAATTAAAATTAATTATTAAATTAGTCACCGAATCAAGTCACTGATTCGATCATTAAAGTAATTATTAATTTAGTCTCTTTTATATATATAATCAATGATTAAATTAATTATTAATTTAGTCTCTTTTTGAAATATATATATATATATATATATATATATATTACTTTTATGTTAATAAAAATGTATTTCAATGTATTTATAAAAAAATTAAAATTATTTTAATTATTGAATTGATATTTCAAATTTATATTAATATTTTTAAATAATTTAATAATTGGATAAATATTTTAAGTTTATATTAGTATTTTTATAAAAGTGTAAAGATTAAGTGAACTTATTTTAAAATTTAATTAAACATAATAATATAATATACTATTAACCATAAATCTGTGAAGATTTAGTTATAAATTAATTTTAAGTTTTATCATTTTTATTTAAAAAAATTGGTAAAAAAATCAAAATAATTAATTAAAATAAATAATTTTAATTTAATAAATGTGTTAATATTATTAGTTATTGGAGAATTAAATTTATAATAATAATTATATAAAATTATAGAATTAATAAAATTTAAATTATTGGTATTTTTTTAATCATGAAGCTAAAATTTGATAATATTAATAAATTAAAATTAAAAAAAAATATATATATATATATCACTTTAATTATTTTTAAAAATAATTTCATAAAAAAACTAATATTTGAAAATAAAAATGCAAAATTATATATTTTTTCTTTTATTTAATTATATTTTTTATTTTTTACTTTTTGGGTTTTAGTCCATAATAACAATTTAGTTGCCCTAATTTTAGTTTAACCTAAAAATCTCATCGTCTTACCACAAAAATATATAATTTCTCTTATTAACAAATTTTTTTTATCAGATTAAGAAAATTATTACTAATAAGATTCAAAACCAGTACCTTAGATTTAGATATTAATACTTCAACCATTAAACTGGTAGAATTTTTTAATAAAAATTTACAAATAAATTATATTTATATACAAATAAATGTATATCCGTGTAAATATATAAATATAAAATATATAAATACAAATATATTTATATATTTTGATATATTTATATATTTATATGTTCGATGTGAGAGTCACGCTAGAGGGTGAAAGTGTGTGTCGAGTGAGTTTTCAAAATTTGATGTCAAATTTGTGAGCGAGTCTTTTTATATAGATTTGTAATTTAATGATAGAATATAATCTTTATAATTTATTTATATAATGATATAAAATAATTGTTTTCTTTATTTATTTTTATTTTATTTTAATTTATTCTTTTTATCTTTTTTTTCTTCTATTATTTAATTAAAATTCTTATATTAAAATAATTTTTTCATTATTAAAAATAATTAAATATTTATTTTCAATTTTTTTTTTAAAATTATTTAATTTAACAAATTATCATGAATTAATCTATGTCTGGAAAAAATAATTATTAAAAGATGATTTTGATTAATTTATAATAATATATGTTAGGAAAAAATTGTTCTATTAATAGTCATAATTAGATTAATTTATAATAATTTGTTAAATTAAATAATTTTAAAAATAAATATTTAATTATTTTTAATATTGAAAAAATTATTTTAATATAAGAATTTTAATTAAATAATAGAAGAAAAAAATATAAGAAGAATAAATTAAAATAAAAATAAATAAAGAAAAAAATTATTTTATATCATTATATAAATAAATTATAAATATTATATTGTATCATTAAATTATAAACTCATATAAAGAGACCCGTTCACAAATTTGATCAAATTTTAAAAATCCACTCACACTTTCACCCTTGAGCGCTACATATCCAATATATATATATATATATATATATATATATATATATATATATATGTATTTATATATTTTATATTTATATATTTACACGGATATATTTTTTTATTTGTATATAAATATAATTTATTTATAAATTATTATAAAAAAATCCTAATAAGCTAGTAGTTTAGTGGTTGGAGTATCGATCTCTAATTCTAAGTTATCGAGTTCAAATACTAGTAACACTATTTTTGAAGAAAAACTCCTTGACGGAGTAAAATCATTACAAAATCCCCTCATTAAAACTCTAACAAATATCAACTTAGCGGGAGACAGAAAGACTTCTCAAGCTTGAAATGATAAGCTTAGGAGAAGTAAGTTAAAAAAAAAACAAAAAAAACTCAGTATATAAGGTTAGTTAATAATTCATACATTCTTATAATAACGATTTTGAAATGGGGACTTGTGTATCTATATATATTTAATGAATGAAATATTCTCCTGAGTTAATACATCTTTAATGAGTTTAATAAGATAAATGTATTAATCAACGATTAATACCATGATAAAGATAAATTAATATCATTGAATAAGTATCTTTATTACTTAAAATATCTTATAAATAAAAATCTTATAAAAAAATTATAAATTATGTCATTTCATTACGTTATTTTACTAAAATAGAGAATATACGTAAGTAAATCTCCCTTCCCTTCTTGAAACAATTGTAATTAATCTTATATTTTGATGAATACTTATTCGTAATCAGTTATCTAAATTATTTATGGTAAAAAATAAGACAAACAAATCTACACTACCAAATTATTTATTTTTCAATTTTATTTATAATTTTTTTTACTTGCCATAATATATATATTTTTTTTACTTGCCATAATTGTACCACATGTAGCCCCACCTTATTAATATGAAGGACACGGTACATATGTTTGAAAATTCAAATCATATTAAAATATCTTAGATAAAAAATTTATAAATTATGTTATTTCCCCTGTTTAGATCCTATTTTAGTTTACTAAAAAAAATAAACACCTTACTTAAATATCAAAGTATTTATTTTACTAAATAAGAAAATATACATCTCTCTTGAAACAATTACAATTAATTTTATATTCCAACTATCTTTATACGTGAGTCTCCCTCGTTTTTAAAACAATTACAAAATACTCTAACGGATATGAAATATCCGATTAGATTCTCTGAACGGTGTGCCACGAAAATGAACAAAATCCAAATTATCAAATTATTTATTTTTTATTTTTATTTATAATTTCCATAATAAGAAAAATGTCAATTCGCTTGCAATCATTGTACCACATGTACCCCCACCTTATTAACACAGAGCAAATAATACATGCCCTTGAAAATTCAAATCATATCCGTTGGGTTCATTTCACAGTGACGGAACTACATCTTATTAACTTATTATTATTATTATTATTATTATTATTATATTTCCTTTTTTTTACATGATAATAATTAAAAAAATCAATGAAAATGATTTTTATAATTTTTTATTAAAAATATAAATTTTATTATGTCATATCTTATTTTATTTTAATAAAAAATTTAAAAAAACTTAAAAATATATTTTTATTTTATTTTTATAAATTATTTTAAAAAATAAAACATTTTAAATAACTTAATAAAATTATACAATCATTGTCCCACCTAATATTCTTTTAATGGATTTTTACTTCTTTCTAATAAGTGTTGTAGCAGATTAGGTTTTGTTGAAAGCATCGCCATCGCATACTGCAGTATTCCAACTATGGTATATAGTGTCGTTTACGTTCCAAACAGAGATAAAAAATATTACTTTTTCAATGTATTGGTACTTTTCATTTTTATGAAGTTCTTATAACATGCTTAGGCCTCTATACAATCGCGTGTTTTCTGATATGAGATTCACCACACATTGTTTTCTTTCTCCTCTTAGATATAAGTGACAATGGTGTCACCACTTGTAATTATATGTCTTACTCTTCCCATGCTTTTGTTATTCTTCTTCCAAAACCGCAGAACCTTCAAGAAGTCACCCTTTCCACCTGGTCCTAAAGGCCTTCCCATAATAGGAAATCTTCATCAGCTGAATAATTCTCTTCTTTATCTTCAACTATTTGAACTCTCAAAGAAATATGGGCCTATATTTTCCCTTCAATTAGGATTAAGGTCAGCCATTGTCGTCTCCTCACCTAAATTGGCCAAAGAGTTATTCAAAGACCATGACCTTGTGGTTAGTGACCGACCTAAATTATTTGGCCAGCAGAAATTGTCCTACAATGGGTCAGAGATTATATTTTCCCCATACGGTCAATTTTGGAGAGAAATTAGAAAAATTTGTGTTGTCCATGTCCTTAGCTCCAGACGTGTATCAAAATTTTCCTCAATAAGAGAGTTTGAGGTGAAGCAAATGATAAAAAAATTATGTGGGCGTGCCCCAGCTTCAAAGGCTACAAATTTGAATGAAGTGCTAATGTCTCTTACTAGCACTATGATATGCAGAATCGTGTTTGGGAAGAGCTATGAAGATGAAGGAACAGGAAGGAGTAGGTTCCATGGACTATTTAATGAGTCAGGCCATGTTCGGCACCTTCTTTTTCTCAGATTATATTCCTTTCTTTGGTTGGATCGATAAACTCACGGGGCTACACGCACGTCTTGAACAGAATTTCAAGGACTTGGATCAGTTCTACCAAGAAGTAATTGATGAACACATGGATCCTAACAGAAAAACTCCAGAGAAGGAGGGTATAGTAGATGTCTTACTTCAACTGAAGAAACAACGCAAGTTGTCCATGGATCTCACAAATGATCACATCAAAGCTGTTCTCATGGTTTGGAACTCTTTTCTTCTCATTTAATTTATCTATTTTGCAAAAAGAATCATATATTTGAACGGTTGTCTAATTTAAGTAAAATTAGAATTAAAAAACTTGATAAAAAAATATTAGTACAATTAAAAAGAATAAAGACTAATGCGTGCTATATCTGTCATTGAATAAGAACCTGCATTAATTTTCATCCTAAGTAGTGGAGTAATCGTTTTTCTTTATATAGATATTTTAGTTAATGGCAACTACTGACTGGTCCAAACTTTACACGTCGCAATTTATTTGTCACAATGACGAGTATATTTTAAAGTATCTTTGATAAAATTTATTTGGGACCAATCACAAATGGTGCCTTTTTTACATCAATAATATTATTTGCCTATGAAATAAAAACAATTGGATGCTTTGTTTCTGCAGGACATGCTTGTAGCAGCAACTGGGCTATGACAGCACAACTAAAAAATCCAAGAGTAATGAAGAAAGTTCAAGAAGAAATTAGGACTTTGGGAGGTAAGAAAGAATTTCTAGAAGAAGATGACGTTCAAAAGTTTCCTTACTTCAAAGCTGTGATAAAAGAGACACTGAGACTGCATCTACCAGCACCATTGCTTGTGCCAAGAGAAACAAGTGAATCATGTACGATAGATGGTTATGAAATTCCAGCGAAGACAATAGTGTACGTGAATGCTTGGGCCATACATAGAGACCCTAAGGCTTGGAAAGACCCACATGAGTTTATACCGGAGAGGTTCTTAGATAGTACTATAGATTTTGGAGGGCAAGATTTTGAGTTCATTCCATTTGGTGCTGGTCGTAGAATTTGCCCTGGCATACCAATGACAATTGCTTCATTGGATCTTATTCTTGCTAATCTTCTGAATTCGTTTGATTGGGAGTTGCCAGCAGGAATGAAAAAAGAAGACATTGATACTGAAATGCTGCCAGGGTTTACTCAGCATAAGAAGAATCCACTGTCTGTTTTGGCCAAGCCTCCGATGTAAGTTTTATCAATGAAAATGTACGTTCTAATACTATTTGTACTATGTTCTGCAGAATGTGGGGTCTTTATCATGATTTATCTTTACTTGTTAAATTGTTAATTTTTAATGAGGCTACAGGAGGGATAAAACACCTACTTTCAAGTCGCCTAGGCTTCAGGCCTAGGATTTGTATACTTTTTCTTTTTAAATAATGTTCGGTCTTTTAATTTTTTAAAATTTTAATTTTTTAAAATTTAAAAACTTGTTTAATAAACTTGAGGGGGACCAAGTAAAATACCAGGAAAATGTTGAAAATTTAAGTGAGTTTCAAGTCCCATCTTGGATAGAGATGAGAAAGTTGAGTAAGTGAGAAAAATCTATAACCTAATGTCTTAAAATTTTGAGTTAAGAGTGATCTCATATTCTCTTATATGATTGACTTCGGTCTTATACGTGAGAATCTCCCTACTGTTAGCCCCCTCGAAAATACCTAACAATGATATCAGAGTCGATGATACTCTGTTGAGTATAATAGGTGAAAGTTGAACTTTGTGCCAAAGGTCATTGTGTCGAAAGTCTTCCTAATAAGGGTTTCAGGAAAGCGAGTCCCCTTAAATAAGGTTATCACTAGGTACTCATGGCTAAGAAGTATGTGAAAGTTCAATCTTGTGTCAAAGGTCATTGTGTCGAAAGTCTTCTTGATAAGGGTTTCAGGAAAGCCAGTCCTCTTAAATAAGGTCATCACTAGGTACATATGGTTAAGAAATGCTTCCACTCAAGGAGAGGTATACCAATGTGAAAGGGAATCACACTTGAGGGGGAGATGTTGAGAATTCAATTGTGAGTTTGAAGTCTCACATTGGGTAGAGATGAAAAAGTTTAGTAACTAATAAGTGAGAAAGACCCATAATCTAATGCCTTAATGTTTTTGGTTGAGAGTGGTGTCATATTATCTTATATGGTTGACTCAGGTCCCATTTGTGAGAATCTCTCTGCTGTTAGCCCTCTCGAAAATACCTATAAAAAAACACGTGCTAAATATTGGTACTTGGAGTTGGATTATTTCAATCATACGTTATTTTAAAAGAGTTGATTTATTAAAATAAACAAAAATATTAAATCAAAAATAAAGTTTGTAGATAACTCACCAATAAGTTGTGAAAGAAAAAGAAAAATTATGATTACAAGAAAAGATGAGAAATTTGTATTAATTCCATTTTCTCTATGTTCTAATTATAAAACACAATTTGTTGAGTATCATACAATAAAGAATATTTTTTCAATTGAAAATCGAAGGAGCTAATATTGAGAATTTTCAATAAAAATGGGATACTGATTTTGAAGGCTCCTCGGAGCATAAAGAAGACTTTTAGAGTTAATATTTCAATATATGCCTTGCAGTTGCAGTTTCTAATGTTAACTGGCTATGAAATCTGAGGTATAGTCATCTTATAATTTCGATAGTTTGAGCCAACTAGGAGAGAAGAAGATGGTGATAGGATTTCCTCGAGTCCAAAAATGCAAAGATATTTGTGAAAGTTGTGTTGAACATTCAAGGACTTGATGTTGAACTTACATGGACATGAAGCTTGTTGATTTTGATGATGATTCAAGAACACAAGAACTTAGAAAGTTGAAGACTTGTTTTATAGTGTAATAACTCTGTTTTGATTAGTTTGAGTCTGTAATATTAGAGTTTAAGATAGCCGGTACATAGTCTGCACTTTAGAAGCTTCAAAAACTCAAATTTATCTTTTTGCCTCGGCTTTAATCGATTAAATGGTGAAATGATCGATTATTACAGTGAGAAAAACCATTTTTTGTATCTGTTCACTGTAATAATCGATTAACACACCTGTTAATCGATTAACAGGGCTTTTAATTGATTAAAACAGTGAGTTTTGGGGTTCTGTTGATTTTGGCTTTGTAATAATCGATTAACACTTCATTTAATCGATTATTTCAGTCAGATTTTGATTTTCAACTTCAAATCAACCCTATTTTCGAAAACCCTAATCCCAAGACTCCTAGTTCCGAAAATCCCAATTCCCAAACCCTAATTTCTCTACTTAAGCTTCTCTATGACACTCAGAAAAAAAAAAAAACAACAACCTTTTTCAAACAAAAGTTAAGTGTTGTGAGTGCCAGATAACTATTTGTTGGAGGAAAAAGGGGCTTTTGGAACCTGGTGTGGGCTAGAAGCGATAAGAATCACTAAGTGGAGTTCTTAGTGGATTGTGTGTTGTGCCGTCTCTGGGGAAAACTATTCTTCATCTCTTGTGGGTTTCAAGAGAGGTGTTTTCTATACTTTGTATTTTCAATTGTTATCTGTTTGTAACAATTTTGATTATAGTGACAGCGTTAATCCTCAATTTGAGTGATTAGCAACTGGACGTAGGGTCTTTTGATCCGAACCAGTATAAATCTCCTGTGTAAGACTCTATCTCTATCTTATTTACGTTTACACAGATTTTTAATCGGTAAAATTTGGGGAAAATTTTGAAAACCTAATTTTTGTTAAGAAACCAATTCACCCCCCTCTTGGTTTTTGTCCGACCACGCGAACATTCCACTGCGTGATTCTAACAAGTGGTATCAGAGCTTGCTTTGATAGTCATTCAAACTTTTCGAAAATGGCTGGACAAAATCAAACTTTTGCCGAAGGTGCGTCTATCAACAGACCCCCACTTTTTACGGATCAAAATTATCCTTTCTGGAAAGTAAGAATGCAAATCTTTTTAGAGTCTATTGATAGAGGCATTTTGGACGTTATTTTAAACGGTCCATATGTTCCTAAAGTTACTGAGAACGGTGTTGACGTCCCTAAACCTTTTTCTAGATGGACAACAGAGGAAAAGAGAAAAACACAATTTGACGTTAGGGCTAGAAATATAATTTCATCTGCTTTAACCCTTGACGAGTTTTATAGGATCTCTGTTTGTAAAAGTGCTCAGGAGATGTGGGAAATACTAAGAGTGACCCACGAAGGTACTGACGACATTAAGAGAGCACGGAAGAATTTCCTAATCCAAGAATACGAGATGTTCTGAATGTAACAAGGCGAAACGATATTCGATGTTCAAAAGCGTTTCACTCATATTGTGAACCATCTCACCGGATTAGGTAAAATCTTTGACGTTGATGAATTGAATGTTAAAATTTTAAAATCTTTGGATAGGAAATGACAACTTAAGGTGACGGCCATCTCGGAGTCACAAAACCTTGCCACTATGTCTATGGCGGCGCTATTTGGAAAGCTAAGAGAGCATGAGCTAGAGCTTGGAAGGCTAAATGAAGAAGAAGGACAATATCAGAAGAAGAACTTAGCCTTCAAAACCGAAATTTTCAAAGGTAAAAATAAAAAGGAAGAAGAAGACTCGGAGAACGAAAAAGAAGAATTGAGTCTTATGATAAAGAATTTCACCAAATTCATGAAAGCTAAAGGAAGACAACCATTCAAAGATAAGGGAAAGGTAAGAGAAAGTACTTCCGTAAATATAAAATGTTATGGTTGTGGTGAAGCAGGACATGTAAAGACTGAATGTCCAAATAAGAAGAACGAAGAAAACAAAAGCAAAAAGTTCTTCAAGAAGAAAGCTTATATTGCTTGGGACAATAGTGATTCAAGTTCGGAATCAAGTGACTCGGAAGTAGAAGCAAATATTTGCTTAATGGCAAATAATAACATATCTTCCGATTTTGAGGTAAGTGATTCCGACTCATCTTCTAGTGATGATGATAATAACTATGATGAACTGCAAAATGCTTACAATGAATTATTTATTGTCTTTAAGAATTTGAAAAATGAATATAAAGTTGTGAAGAAGAGTTTAAGTAGATCCGAAAAGGAAATTGACTCATTAAAAACTAAAATCACATGTTTAGAAGAAAAGGAATCTTTAGAAACGAAAATTGTATGTTTAGATGAGGATGATGATAAGAACTTAACATGTGCAACTTGTAAAGAGCATGAATATGACATAGATATTCTTAATCATCTACTTGATAAAGCCGAAAAGGAAATAAGTGATTTTAAGAAGGATAAAACTGTTTTTGCTCAAAATAGTGTAAATTATCAAGTTCCTTTGAAAAAGCCTAAAAGGAAAAATAAAAGAGTATGGGTAGAAAAAGGAACAAGAACATCTATGGTAAAAAATTCATCATATTCTAAAGCTACATCAAAAGCATGTTTTTATTGTATGAAACTAGGTCACACTTCAAATAAATGTAAAATAAAACATTTTGGTGTTCCTAAAGGTAAATACATTTGGGTTCCTATTGTTAAATAATTTATTTGTCTCTAACCCCAAGGACCCAAAAGTTATGGGGACCTAAGTTTACTATGTTCTTGTTTTGTAGGAAACTTCCAAATCAAAGAAGTCTATGTGGTATCTTGATAGTGGATGCTCAAAGCATATGACCGGTGATAAAACGAAATTTGTGAGTTTCAAAGCTAAAGAACAAGGATATGTAACTTATGGGGACAATAACAAAGGGAAAATTCTTGGAATTGGAAATATAGGTGGTGCAAACACATTGGAGATTAAGGATGTGCTTCTTGTTGATGGACTAAAGCATAATCTCCTTAGCATAAGTCAACTATGTGACAAAGGATGTAAGGTAATATTTGAAAGTAAATTTTGCACCATACATTTGATAGATTCTGAAAATGTAGAATTAAAAGGCATTAGGCATAACAACATATACTTGATTGATTTGGATTGTTTACATGATTCTAGCATAACATGTTTAGTTGTTAAGGAAGAGAACCCTTGGTTATGGCATAAGAGAGCGGCTCATATAAATATGAATCATTTGAACAAATTGATTTCAAAAGACTTAGTTATTGGTTTGCCTAAGTTAAAATTTGAAAAAGATAGATTGTGTGATGCATGTCAAAAAGGTAAACAAGTAAAATCATCATTTAAATAAAAGAATGTCATTTCCACTTCAAAACCCCTAGAATTATTACATTTAGATTTATTTGGACCTTCTAGGATAAAAAGCTTTGGTGGAAATTATTATGGCCTTGTGATTGTTGATGATTATTCTAGATATACTTGGACATTTTTCCTAACTATGAAAAGTGAAGCCTTTAAAGTCTTTAGAAAATTTGCAAAACAAATTCAAAATGAGAAAGACTTAAGAATTAAAGTTTCAAGAAGTGACCATGGTGGTGAGTTT